CCCCCAAAACCCCAAAACCCCAAAACCCCTAAAATTTTATAAACTTTTGAAAAATAACTAAGTCTTAATGGTCAGTTGCTTGACACCGTATTGCCAGAATCAGGCATATCTAGAGAACCCAGAATCATCAGAAAAGTTTTGTACAAAGTGTTATTTTACCCAGAGGGATATCCCAGAATCTCCTGCTGGTGTTATAGGAAATATTGATTTCATAGAGTCGTCAGAAATTATATCGTAAGGAAGGATAATCACTTTAGAACTGTTCTGTCTCCAATTATGTCAAAAGATAGTCTTGTACAGATACAAAAAGCCAAGAAGAAAGAATTAAAGCTTCTTAAATAAGAATCTCAAGATATTATTGAAGGTATGTTTTGCACTAGTCATTATCTAGAGTGACCATTGAGTGTTAACTCTGCATCAAATACTCCATGATTGCTTTAAGTACAACCTTCTGCCTGAGACTTATTCTGATCCCACAACAGAAGCAACACATCAGTATGATCAGATCCTTCAGGATCTAAATAAAGTAAGGTGCCATTACTGAATCACTGTAGATGTTGGGTAAAGTCTACTCACTAAACGGTGGGCAGGGAGAAGACCCTTGCTTCACTAGTCATAAACAAGTGATTAAAGAGACAATTGGAGCATTCCAAGGTAAATTCTTGCTGATCTTTAGAGACACGGGAAAGACTTAGGGTCATGCGGGAGTGGAACGAAGACCAGGTTGTCAAGCCGAGGAACAAAGATATCGACTTTAGGTAGAAAGTTATTCCATAAATATTTGTGATTGTTTTTAGAGAAAATCAAATATTTGTATTGAAAACTGAACTTTGAAGAATTTTGAGGTAGGGAAATTTCAGAAATGTTTAGAGAATCAAAAAGAGAAATAGAGGAAGATGTCGAGCAATTTAAACCAGATGTATACAATAGATGTGTAGAATACTTCATTAAAACCCATTTTGAAGAAGAAAAATGTGGCTTTCCATCACCTCCCCATAACAACTATCGCATCTACTCATCCTTATTCCCATCACACCCTCCTATCTCCCTCACTGTAAGCCTCTGCTCACCCATAGTCCCGGTTCAGCCCAATCCCATGAGAATCTGTTGGCAGGAGTGGAGATTTCAACTATGTTAACTCAAGCTCCACCATCTCAAAAACTCAATCTCTCTCTTCAATCTCTGAGACTCTCTACTCTCCTCTAAATCTCTCACTGGGGTTAACCTTGCCTCCGATCCACACTATCCACTTCCCGTACATCGATCAAGGCCAGTCGGAGGTTTACAACTTCTTAAAGCAGAACATCAGGAGCTACGTCAGAGTCTTACATCTCGAAGGGACTTACCTTGCAATGTAAGCCTCAAAGCTCATTTTGTAGGCCAAGAATCGAGGAAATTGTGGAATTGTTGGTACACGGGTTTAGAGAAAAGACTCCCTTTGGAGATTACCTCATTTGCTATAAATTAGCTATCGGGACAGTGCTTCTGGAGCGCATCTTTATGACTCCAGGTATATTTCCTGACTAACTTTTAGTTATCTTAGGCAAGCTATGCGAAGCTTTCAAGAGTCCCATGATAGAGGTCCTCAATGGATTTGGTACCCATTCAAGGTAACATATAGATGTAGAGGAAGAAGAAGGAGCCAGAATCATTCTTAGGGACTGTGAAGTCAAGTTTGAAGTAAAAGAGTATTTGGAAAGATACCCTGCTCTAAGAATAGAGGGGTATTAAACAGCTTTCAATATGATTAGTTCTCTTGGGGTTTTGGGGTTTTGGGGTTTTGGGGTTTTGGGG